AGTCCGGTCCGTCATCTCCCCATGGCTGACGGTGTGTCACACGCCGTCGACACGGCGATGACCACGGCATCGGGCTTCACACCCGTGCCGGCGGACCAGGGCCATCAGCCCCAGGGGGATCTGCACACCCTCCTCACCTCCTTTCTGGCGCCCATCCAGGCGCAACTCGCGACCCTCGCGCCCTTACAGGCGCAGGTGGCGACCCTTGCCGCCGGCATGCGGCAACTCCAGGACGCTGGTCGTCCTTCCTCTCCTCACCATATCTCTTCTCCTGGCTCCCAGTCCGGGTCCCCCGCCTTCCGACAGGGTGGCCACGGTGGAGCTTCCTTCTCCGCTGCCCCCGACCCGGCCATCTTGGTGACCGTCCACGCACCTAGCACGACGACCACCACGAGTCAGGCCCTCCCTCAGTCCATGGGCGCACCCGCCCAGATTCCGGTTACGACGGCCACGGGACCACAACCCGCTACCATGGTCTCAACTTTTCCGGGTGCCCCACTTCTCCCCCACTCTTCGCACGACCGCAGCGCCATCTGGCTCTCCCCCTTGTGGGATGCCTCGTGCCGCTCGTGCGTCTCCCCCTGCCACACCTCGCTCGACCTACATTCGAAGTCTCGAGGACGAGATTGCCCGGCTCCGGACCAACCTCGCCTTCTCACGCCTTCAGCCACCCCCACCCTCACAGGTGGCCGCGCCTTCCGGTGCACCTCCTTCTTCCTCTATTCTTCCTTCCATGCAGGCTCGCTTCCCTCGCCCTACACCCTACCAATCTCCATCCTATCTCCTCCCCATCCCCTCGGTCACCGCGACCTCTTCTACCGCAGCTCCCGTGCGGCCTGCCGCTGCTTCCCCCGCCGCTCCACCATGCGGCCCGGGCGTACAGTCAGCTGCACCTCCTCCTCCTCCAGGACCTGCGCCGACTTATTCCGCCGTAGCGCAGTCCCCTGCTTCCCGTTCCCCTCGCCGCCAAAACGGTGGCACACCACTCATCCGCTTGTCGGACATTCCCTTGTATGATGGTACAGGCATACGCGTGTCTAGGTGGCTGCAGGCTGCCACCCGCACGCTCCAGCTCATAGGCGCCACACCCGACACATGGGTGGGTCACCTCTCCACGCGCCTGCGTGGTGCTCCTTTCGACGCCTGGAAGGATTTCTATGCTTACTCCTTGCGTGAGGGTCGGACTCCAACCTTCATGGATTTCCAGGCATTCCTCGAGGATCACTTCGGAACCCGATATGACGTGATTGACGCCTTCGAGCGTGTCATCACTACACGCTGGTCCGGCTCTGGTGGCGCTGCCAGCCTGGATCGCCACATCCAGGTCTTTCAGGACGTCCGCCTCGTTTGTGACGTGGCGTTCCTTCCCGAGGTTGCCCTTATCGATCGTTTCTTGGCCAGCCTCCCGCTCGAGTACCACTCCGAGCTATGGCGGTACGAGTTCACATCGGCCCCACAGGCTTACGAGGCCGCCAGGGACCATCAGCAGATGCGAGCCCGTCTTCACTCCGCCTCCTCCTCCCAGCCCCAGCGCACGGGCTACGCCTCCTCCTCTCACGACACTTCCCAGCGCCGTTCCCCTTTCCGCGGTCGCCCCCGCCGTTCCACGCAGCAGGGCCGCCACTTCTCGCGCCGCTTCAGCGCACTGGAGTATGGTGAGCAGGACGTTGTTGCCCCACTGTCACCTGAGGGCGATCACAGCGACGACCTCGATCTCTGCGAGGCCGTCCACTATCACTTGGAGGACTCTACCCTCCCTGCAGCTGAGCGCCTTCAACTCGCGCTCTCCGCCCTCTCTCGGGCACGCAGCCACCCCGGTCACACTGGCACGTCGCCCCCCGAGGTCCCTCAGGAGGACCTCCCTCAGGGCTTCGTCCCTCCTCGTGGTGTCCTTTCCCCTGAGGAGCGCGCGGCTATTTTGGGCCGGCATGGGTGTTTGCGCTGCCGCTTGGACGGTCATACCTCCTTGCGGTGCCCTTACACTACCGCCCTCGAYCGCCACTACGCTGACCTTTCTCGTCAGCGTCGTGCTCAGTCCCCCCCCGGCGCCTCACGTCCCCGCGGCGCCTCCTAGCCACGGTGCAGTGTACACCTGCGCCCTCCTCAGTAGTGGGCTGCCCGACATCTCCGTCGTGGTTCTCCCCTCTCGCTACTGGGGTTGAGGTATCGCAGGACTCGACAGAGAGTACTCAGCCCTCTGTCGTAGTACCGTCTGTGCCTCCGCAGACCACAGTCTCCCCTCCTTCCCCGCCGCGACTACCGACGTGTCGAGCCATTCGCTCAGCCCGTTGCAGCGAGCAGCTCGCTACTTGCGAGGACGTTGTGTCCTCTCTTCTGGACTTGAGCATGCTCCAGGYTCGTCAGGAGCGACTCACCCTCCATGTCGCTGCACTGCGGCGCCTTCTCGCCATCCTCTCTGAACCTGATCGCACCCTCCCGATCATCCCAGTACGACTCGGGGACTCCACGAGGATGTACTCCGCGCTGTGGGATTCCAGTTCTCAGGGCAACTTCATTCACCCACGCGTGGTGAAAGAAGCTCGCTTACCCACGACAGGGTCTCCAACTCCCATTTCCGTTACCCTAGGGGATGACAAGACCCAACGCTTCTTCGATCAGACGGTCACCGACCTCCCTTTCTTCCTCACTCTCGAGCCGACTGATTGTTCCCCGGCGTCTCGTCGCCACCGCTCCTCTGCACATTTCGATGTGATGGCGACGGGGTACAACTTCATTCTCGACACTCCATGGTCTCGTCGGTTCCGCAGCACCGAGGCCGATTGGGCGACCAACACTCTCGTTCTCAAAACGAAGTGTGGACAGACATATCACGTACCTTTCATCGGTACCACTACGACACCACGCCCCGATCCTCCTCCCCCGGAGCCTTCCGTGCCCACACCATCTCCTTCCATCACTGTCACCTCACCTCGACAGTTCGCCCACTTCATCCGACAGGACGACGTCACCTTCTTTATGGTGGACGTGACGGATCTCTTACACTATGATCCACCCTGTCCCGACGCCAAGCTCATCCCTCTGGAGCCAGATCCTCCTTCTATCTCCATGGCTCCCATCTCTACTTCCGTCCCCCCGCCGTCCGTCGAGTCCACTCCGCCGTCGCGCGCTGACGCTGACGCTGAGGAGCTCGCACGATATACGACTGATCTGGAGCCTGCAGTTCGTGACCTCATCCGAGAGTACCACGACGTTTTCCCATAGTCGTTCTCGTACGCCGGCATCCCACCGATGCGTGGCGTCGAGCACTCCATTCAGTTTGTGCCTGACTATCGTGTTCATCACCAGGCACCCTACAGACTTTCGATCCCCGAGGCCACCGAACTCAAGCGTCAGCTTGAGGAGCTCCTGAGACGGGGTTTCATTAAACCCAGCAACTCCCCGTGGGGTGCACCCGTCCTCTTTGCTCGCAAAGCGGATGGAACTCTTCGTCTCTGCATCGACTACCGCGGTCTCAACCGCTACACGGTTAAGAACAGCTACCCCATGCCTCGTTCCGACGAGTTGTTCGACCGCCTAGCAGGCAACCGCTTCTTTACGAAGATCGATCTTCGTAGCGGTTACCATCAGATCCGCGTCGCTGCAGTCAATCAGCCGAAGACCACGTTCTGGTCGCGATTTGGCCACTACGAGTTCACGGTGATGCCATTCGGCCTCACCAATGCACCCGCTACCTTCCAGAGGGCGATGAATGACATCTTCAGGGACATCCTGGAGCAGTACGTTCTCGTCTACCTCGACGATATCCTGGTCTATATTCGTACCCTTGAGGAGCACCTCAGACACCTCCGCGATGTCCTTGACCGCTTGCGCAGACATGGCTTCTACGCCAAGCTGAGTAAGTGCCGCTTTGCCCAGCACAAAGTGGATTTCTTATGACACTACGTGTCTGACCAGGGTCTCCACATGGACGACGAGAAGATCATTGCTATTGCGGAGTGGCCCGCCCCCACATCCGCCAAGCAGCTTCGCAGCTTCCTAGGCCTTATCAGCTACTATAGTAATTTCATCCGGGGATACGCTAGGTATTCCTACGTCCTTACCTCCACCCTCCTCCGGAAGAACCCACCCTGGGCTTGGACACCCCTCCACGAGGACGCCTTCCGCGCCCTCAAGAAGGCGGTGACATGCGCATCGGTTCTTCACCTACCCGACTTCGATCGCCCTTTTATCCTTACCACCGATGCGTCAGACTTTGCTGTAGGCGCAGTGCTTTCTCAGGTCTTCCCCTCCTCTCCTGATTCCTCTCATCCTCGTATCCCTCGCTTCCCACCACCTACCCCTACCACCGCTTCCCGACTGACGCCTACTCGTCCAGCTACTGACGAGCCTTCTATTGACTATTCTCCTACCATCGCCGAGGACGGCACTGTCGAGTCTCGCTCAGGTGATTGTCCGATAGCCTTCTACTCCCGTCATGTCCTGCCCGCCGAGATAAACTACACTGCTGATGGAAGTGAGGTTCTCACAGTAGTTTATGCCGCTCGGCACTAGCGTCACTACCTGCATGGGGCACCGTTCACGGTGCGTACGGACAACTCTGTTGTCCAGGTTTTTCTGACAAAACCGAAGCTCACTCCTCGACAGGCTCGCTGGTGGCGCGACCTATCCGAGTTTAGTTTCACCATTGAGCACATCAAGGGTGAGACTAATCGGGTCGCAGATGCCCTATCCCGGCGCCCTGACCACGACCAGGAGCACATCCAGCTCTCTTCCATCTCGGTCACCACCGTCCACCACTCGGTGATCGACG